GTATCAATCGTTGATGCTCTCTACGAGCAATATGGGCATCACATGCCTTTAATTCAGCCGATTCTGTAAGAGCCAATTGATCCCAAAGATCTGTTATAGCAGAATAAAACTCCTGAATACTCATATTCTTCTGTTGAAGAGCTCGTATGTCATGCTCCAATTGATACTGCTTTGCAAAATTTGATTGAGTGAATAACTTTTGCAGATGATCTCAAACCTCCTTTGTTGTCTCATACTTTGCCAACTGCGTACCTATAGAATGCTCAACAGAATTATTGATCCAAGGAATAATTTTTGCATTGTCTGCTTCCCAGACATCTATCAAATCAACATAACCCGCATCTGTATTCTTAGGTTTCACATAAGTTCCACTAACATATCCCCATAGCTTTTTACCCTTAAGAAAATTTCTCATCACATAACTCCAATACGAATAATTCTTTCCATCCAACCTCACACCCACAAACTGAAACGAATCGTCTCTTGCAGTAGTCATAATCAACAAACAAAGAAAACCAGATTGCAAAAAACGGAACAAATACCAGATTGTAAAAACAGAACAAATACCAGATTGCAAAAACGGAACAAATACCAGATTGCAAAAATGGAAAAAAAATATCAGATTGCTTAAACGGAACAAATACCAGATTGTTTGTCCCATGAAACTTTGCTCTGATACTATGTTGAACAATCTAAAGAAATACAAGAGATAAGAAAAGAAGAGGCTAGCGTTTTATTGATACTGCAAACTTCAATTGAATACTAGGAAGTGATTTAACCTAAATACAAAGAGACTATATACAAGTTAAATAAGGCAAAAAAAGTAAAAGACTATTTTATCCTTAATAAACAAAATAACCCTATATTTCTTAACAACTACTTCGTTAGAGTTGATGAATGTCTAATCCATTCTAAACTCCGCAATGATGAGAATCTTGTGTATTGGATAAGCCATTAGTCGCGCTGAACACAGCAGCTGCTGCTGGGATATTGCCAACGGTGGGTAGGTAGGGTAGATGTTTCCAAGTTTGATAAGAATTTCTACTTCGTACCCAATAGAGCCGTCTAATTCCTTCTCCAACCGGGATATAGTTTAATTGAGCCCGTTCATCCTCTATAAATTCAGATTATTAGCTTAGTAAGAATACATAAAACATTGTCGTTTGTCCAAATTATTCCTTGGTGTTCTGTACGTTCTCTTTCTCTCAGATTATGGAGTTCTGGTTGGAGATGGGAGCACTCATATTCCAAAGTAACATAAATTTAGGTGAGTATCTCTCACGTAGTTGGTTTTCCTTCCTTAAATCCATCGTCTTTTGTTTTGTACGAGTCGCAACATCGCACCAAAGCCCACAGCCCAAGAACCGAATCACAAACAGTGGTAGTGGTTGGCATAATCTCCCCGGAGATATCATTGGGATGATCGGAAAGTGCTTAACTCAAGCTGTGTTTGCAAGTGGTGGAGAGTGATTCTTATGAACAAAGACATCTGCCCTACTGCTCCTGAGATTCCATGGCTAATGCTTCTCCAATTTCCCATTAGAAAACACATAAGTTTCTATAGCTTATGTGATGAAAAAAAAGTTTATAATCTAAGGCTGCCACAGTCAGCCCATGGAGCTTGGTGTTGTGGATCTTCCAAAGGTTGGTTGGTCGTGATCATTGATCCATCAGACTCCGACCCACAATTTTTTTTGCTGAATCCAATTTCTGGAACCCAACTTCGACTTCCTTCCCTGAAAAATATACCCCTTTCGCGAATTCACAATCAAACGAAGTCAAAGTATCTTCTACTGATGCTGTAGAACGTATAGTTGCAGTTTCGGCATTCTTAAATGATGACAGTATATTGGTTCTATGTCGACCAGATGACGAAAGTTGGCAGATTTTCCAAGGATGGGACGAATGTGCAGTAAGGGATGAAGATGGACAAATTGTTTGTGCAGACATATTGTTTCATAACGGTGGACTCTACGTCTTAGTTAACAGTGAAGAGCCTCGTTTTGCAACTTGCACCACTAAATTATAAGATTGTGTAAGTGATGTTGAAATTCATCTCATTCCTTATAATTTTTATGAGAATGTGGAGGCACAGGAGGTCGTTGAGTTTCCACACTTCACAAATTTCAAGAACCATAGTACATACTTTTATTTGGCAACAGGTAGTGAATTATTGATTATCGCACAGCTCATTGATCAATATGCACTGAAGGATGATGATAACATTGGGGTTGGATATGAATATCAAGTCGAGTATGGGCATGAAGAGGGGGATGAGTATGAATATTACTATCCCCAGGATTATAGATATAGGCATACGAGTGGATTTGAAGTATTCAAGTTCAATCCTAGCGATGGACACTTTGATAGGTTAAATAGTTTGGGCGACGAGAGAGTACTATTTTTGACAGACGGGGATGTGTTATCCTTTTCAAACAAAGATTATAATCAGATTCATGGAAACTGCATTTATTTTGTAAGATCCAATTTTCGAAAAAGTGAAAAAAAAGGTTTGTACTTTTCGAAAAAACAAGGTTTGTAGTCACCTGAATGCGGTGTTTTCTACGTAGAAAAAAGAAGAATTGAACGTCCTTTCCCGAGCATGAAGCCCGGAGAAGGAATGAGATGGTTTACAGCAAATTTTTAGTATGAGCTATAGAAGAACATTTCATATTTCATACTCAGTTGAGCTATATATATATATATTATCGTCACATGGAATTGCCTGTCTTGCCCGGGATAATGATTTATGTTAGTGTAGTAGTTTCTAGCCATTTATGTGCTGAATTGCATTGGTCTTTTTCAAGAGGTGATGCCACTGTTGCTTAATACATACTTAGTGTGGCCAATTTCTGATCTAATGACCACCAAACTGCGTATCTCAGTCTGTCAAGTTTTAGTGGGTTTGTATTAAAAAAAACTTAACACATATTTGATTTGTTTGTTAATTCATGTCTAACAAGTATAAATCGTGTATAACCGATATATAAACACGTCGTGTTATGTATTTTTTTTTATTGATTTTATTCACACCTGATTTATTTATTAATTGTATCATGTTGATCCACTCGTATACGAAATAAAATGACTTAAGAAAAACTCAAACTCTTTTATTTTGTTTGTTGATTTAACTGCAAATATTTCTCCCTCGAAGCCACCAAGTTTTGGGCGAATGTGACTGCCATCTTTTAGTGAAGACCCACCCTACCATGAACTGTGTTTTACCCAACAATTAATGGCACCTTTGAGTAAATATTCATCGTAACAATTACACTACGAGGGTACAACCACGCGGTGTTAACCACTCAACGATAAACAACTAAGTGGGCAAGCTTAATCTAATTTTTTATATTGGGTGATTACTGTCTGACATAAAAGGGTAATTGCTTAAAAACAGAGACGAAGCTAGGCATTGGCCTAAGGGGGTCACATTTTCTAAAACATAACGAAAACTAATAAAATAATCACATTGCAATAATTTTGATACATTAAGGATTCAATGTGAAAAAAAAAAAAATCTTTAAGAGTGCAATATAAAATTGTTCAAATCTTTCAGAGGGCAAAATACGAAAAAAAAAAAAAAACTCTAATTTTTAACATAGACACGAAATTAATTAATTAAGTTTAATTTTAACAGGTTCGAAATGGAGTCTCACCGACCCTTCACACTGGCTTAATAACAGTCTCACCTTCGTCATTGGACTCAAACTTTGCGGGTGAGGTGCAATTTCATTGAAATTCAATAACCCATGGATGTCTCAATCTCATTACTAAACCTTGTCATGAGAATTACCCAGAAAAAAAAAAAGAGGGGGGGGGGGAGGAAGTTAAGGTCTAAGCTTGTGGCAATAAACATATATACAAGGAAACTTCCTTAAAAGGTGAGGTCTAAAGTTGTAGTCAAAAAGAAAAACGTTATTTTATTGCTTGTTTCTAATTTAATTTTAAATTCTATTGGTTTGATATCGATGAGCAAACCATTGTTCACAAGGATTTGTTGGTATTGAAGTTTGTCTTGAAAATGAGACTTGTTCAAGACGCGCCTCATTTTTTAGATCAATGATTAGAAGCCAAGTTGGACTTTGGCTTTGGATACCAAAGTCTTGTTGGTCCAATAATTACTGTAATATTAAAATAGAAGCGGGTGGATTTTGTCTTACCTTTTGATTTTTAAGAACTTTGTCGACATGTGATAGTGAAATTTTTTTGTTGTGTCCCTTATCTTTTTATCTTTGTTTTTTTTTTATTTTTCTACTGGTATCAAGCTTATATAGGCATACAATCCTATAAAGTCATGTGAAGGATAAAACTATATACACTATATTATTTTTTATTTTATTTTTTTGGCGGGGGGAGGGGTGTCATACATTGTACCTTGAAAGATTTAAAAATTCTTATTTTGTATCCTTAAATATTAAATTTTTTATGTTACACATTTAATATTTTAAAATTGTTACAATGTGATCCAGTTGTTGTTGTTATCTTCAACTACTCATTCCATCAAAAATCACCTCATAACGTTGACGAAATGAGCGATGAAAGTTAATGGCGGGGTCACATTATAATATTTTTACTATACTGAAGATACAATGTAAAAAACCTAATATTTGAAGGTATAAAATAAAATCTTTAAAATCTTTTAGGATGCCCTTTTTTTCCATTCTCCATGTCATGCCAGATTGAAGTTCTTAATGAAGTAGTTTTATATATTTATATTTCTATTATTTATCTATATTTACTCCTTTTATCCCAACTTAATCGTATGTATAGTACATTAGCAAATGGTCGATTAGTTATTCGAGACATAAACGTTTTTGTGTTTTCGCTCGTGGAATTTAAACTTGAAATTATTTTATTTTTAGGTCTCTCGTTACCACTCTCGCCTGTGCACACATACAATGGCACGTTTGTGTTGTTTTTGTTGGGTTTTTTTGGTTGGAAGGGTGGGATGTTTATTTTATGGGAGTTGATGTTAAAAGTGTAACCCTTCATTCAATTCCAGAAAAAAAAAAAAAAAAGAAGACTAACTTGATTCACCACAGTAAACTTGCAACGTTTCTACCATCTCCAAATTACTTATGCCCAAACAAACAACAGCTTTGCTCACACACCCTTACAATAATATTTTGCCAAGCCAGCCTGAGAAAATAATATATATATATACATATATGACATTTTCGACGAGAATAACATTAAAATACATATTACACATTATCAGCTCGATACGACAACCACTCATGGTATAACACTTATTTAGGTAGTGCAATTTTTTCCCACCAAGGAAATGCAGACCAACCATAAATCAGTTTATGTTATCTGCTCTTTTTTTAGACATCCTTGTGTGGCACTGGCACCACTGCTAGAGCACTCTTTGCCATACCCATATCTGAAAACAATAAAGTACTATGTCAACACCAAAATAATGATCCAAGAAAATTCAAGAACATGTCTTAGTAAAACATAGTGATGGACCCATAACTTAGGCATAGAAGGGATTAAAAGCCCTTGAAATTGTGACATTTAGTTCACAAATTTATGTCAATTTAAAGTTTTTCCAAAACTAAGATGGGTCGGGTGTTATACATAGGTGCGATTTTTACACAAATTGTTGTGCACGAGACTACAAGATAATCAATAAAATAAAACAGAATAATACAAAACGCACAAATTCACATAATTTAACTCAAAAACCTACATCTCCGGGCAAAGCGTAAATGTGACAAAAAACTGTCTTAGAAAAAGGAAAATAATAAGTAAATCAAATTGTCCCAAATATATAATATTTGTAACCCAAATTACTTTATTTCCTAGTAGAATAGGATCTCTAAATCCAAACAAGTATCTACAGCACCATCAATCTAATTTGATTTTTAGGACAGATTTCAAAACCAAATCTCAAAGTTTACACCGGGTGTTGGTCTTGGGTCTCATCCATTGGCTCTGGATTGGATTTATTGGTCTAGTCCTTTGGTCTATCATCAACTAACGGCTCTCACAGTTTTTTTTTTTTTTTTGGGTATCGTAATTAAGGGTGTATAAATTAATTTATGCACGTTTTGATTAATTTTTTTTTTTATTTTAGTCAATTTATGTATACTTCAATTAATTCTTTTTTCGTACTATCTAATCAAAAACAAATCATTCACGTCAGGACTAAAAGTTTGACGACTTCTAAGTGTTGCAGTTAGGTAGGTTATCCAGGCGGGACAAAATTCGGTCAAATAATATCCAACAAGTTTCATGTTAGTACGAAGTAAATTCCGATAAAGAGAAAAGACATATCTAATTTCTCAAGCAAAGCAAGCACAAGTAAATCAGAGAAAGGTCTAAACCAGAAGGATGATCAATTTTTTGATCATGAAGTGGCTTCGGGGAAGGAGGCGGTCCACCGATCACGGAGCAACAGACGAACGCGCTTGATCGTTTGCTTTCCCGCCCAAAAATGATCGACGAAACATCGTTTTGATGTGGGCCGCCATCACTATCAGTGTCAGTTATTTTCTTCTTCTTCTCCTTGAGCTCAATCACGGAGCAACAGAGCCAAAGGAAACGGCGACCACTCTTCTTTTCTTTCATGGATGCCATGGTGATTATGAGTGAGCGAGTGAGTGTCGAGACAAGTCAACGAAGCAAACTCAGGCACAGGTTTATTAGATATTCTGAATACAAATACAAATATATAGGCTTGGAATGCTGACCATACAAAGTATGGTAGATTAGCCATTACGTAATGAGTTAATTACAAAATGTCCCCTTCAAGTTTGGATCAAATTGCAATCAACCCCTCTAGTTTGAATTTCCTTAAGTAAATTATCCCCTCAAAGTTTGTACATTTTGCAATTAGTTCAAACTGCTAGTTTCAACAATGAAAAATAATGGAAATTAAGTCATATGATCTCAGATTTATTGAAAAGAAAAAATTATCCTGAATTCAAAAGTTTTTTCTCCTATAAAAAATCTCTCAATTCTTTTTTCCAATACAAAATGATGTGAAGAGTGATGTTATCTCTTCGTAAAATTTGAGATCATGTGACTTGCAAATGTTTGTTTTCTATCATTTTTCTCTTTCAATACTAACTGACTTGACTTAATTGATGAATATTCAAATTTTGAGAGGATAAATTATAAAAATTAAAACCAAAGAAAGTTGATTGAGCGTGACCTAAACTTGTGGGGGGCTATGTTATAGTTAACCCAAACCTATTAATTTTATACACAATTGGCGAACTGCGCACGAAATCGATTTATAAAATTAAAGGGTTTGGGTAGCATATGAGTGAATTCGTTAGACTTGTCAAACAAATGGATCAACATGAATCTGACTTAACGTGATACAAACACACTAAACACAATTTATATGTAAAATCAACTATCTGTTAATATAAATAGATCGGATGTGAATTAAATAAATTTTAACACGATACAACACAAATTCAATATGACATGATTCATTAACATCTACAATTATATTAGTCAAGATNGGATGTGAATTAAATAAATTTTAACACGATACAACACAAATTCAATATGACATGATTCATTAACATCTACAATTATATTAGTCAAGATGAATATCTATGTTGACTTTTGGAGCAAATCGGTTATCATGGTACCATAGCCATTAAGTAATCACACTAATCAAGATGAAATATGTCTCAACTGTCAGGGAAAATCGGTTATGTATAGCACTATCTTTAATAGTTTTGAACCAAAGTCTAACTGTTATACCTATCATTTAAACTGAAGATGTTGTTTATTTGATAGAAACACGTTGTGGGTATTGTTTTATTAACTTTTTTTCTCTAAGACATTCATCTTTATTGAAAAAAAAAATACCCCTGAAACCTAATATAAGTTCGAGAAACTAGATGAGGTAAAATAAGTCATTTCATTGTTTCTATTAGAAGCATAACCTTTTCAATTTGATCAATAACTATAGGAAGGCAATTTCGGGGTGGCAAATTAATTTTGGTCCAAACAAGTAAAAAAATCATTACCCCATATATGCATACATACACACACATGAAAGTTATATCTTTTTTTTTTATTAAGGAGGGGAGTGAAGTTTGAACCTGCGATCACCTGTGGGTGANCTGCTAGAGCACTCTTTGCCATACCCATATCTTTTTTTTTATTAAGGAGGGGAGTGAAGTTTGAACCTGCGATCACCTGTGGGTGAAAGTGAATCCTTACCGCTAGATCATCCCTCACCTCTAATAATATCTAAGTTGATCCTTTTAATTGGGGAATGGATATAAACAAAATCGTCAGAATTTATAAATCTAGTGTCATAACATTTTTGCGTAGGATTAGAAATCATTGTTTATTCACCTATTCGATAAATAGTAGATGTCTTATTTAGAGTTGATTTAGAGAGAAAATAAGGTATGCATGGAATGTTACATGGCTAAAATGACACATGGTTTTTTTGGGTTAAATATAAATAACCTCTATATATTTTGATATGGTCATGTATTTATGTAACCGTTATCTTTTCCATTTAAATTAGATAACAGTAGTGGAAAATTATTTTTTTGTCCAAACACATATAACTTACTACAGCAAATTTGTATTTCAATTTCGATCTTTTGTTATAGGGTGTCCAAGTTTGTGCCGATTACTCTCTTGAACTCTAAGTCCAGCTACCGTAACTTGAGCTAGTTTAAGGACATGTCCCCCAAGAAATAACGGTGATTAACTCTTAGGAGGTTTGGAAAGTATCAAACCTGAGACACTTATTTGCAACAAGGCAGACTTAACCATTGGACCACTCTTAAGAGTTATTTTAGCTCATTAGCTAGTACATTGAGATTTTCTTTTAGGAAATGGACTTTTTCTGTGGTCGGCATGCAAAAACATGTTCAATTGACTATCGATAACAAAATTTTACATTATTTGCATTGAATTCATTTTTTTACAATAGCTTATTTCAGTGCGAATGTATTTTATATTTGTACGACATTCATATAACAAGGGAGTCAGACATTTGAATTTATCCTTACGTAATTCTCTTGCTCATTTCTATCACAAGTTGAATCATTTAATTTTTTATTTTTTTTTTAATATTGTTTGTATATTGCTTCAAGCATTAGTCTAATAACATATAAGTTCATATTTGAAAAACCTAGAAATAGGGAGAATTCAAGGCCATGGAATTGATGATGGCAGGGATAAGGGTAATTAAGGGCAGAGCCAGGGCTTTTTCATAGTGGGGGTAACTATTATTTTGAAAAGAACGATGAATGATCATTATAAATACTCGTTGCGCCTCACAAATTAATAGTTAGTAGGCTTGTCAAAATAAGATTTGGATAGAATTCCAAATGATCCAAATCTAATTTGAAAAATCAATCTAAATTCAATCTAAACTATCCAACAAATTTAATTTTTATAATTCATATCTGACTCCGTTAAAAAATAATAGGTTATTTGAACCAAATAATTAAACTAGAACTAAATGTTTATAAATTATATTTTAATTTTAACACAACGTTGTTAAATAACCACTTAATTTTAATTAGTATATCTACATGTAGGTGTATCAATGATACTGAATCACAATCGAGTCCAATTTTTGTATGTTCATATTTGTTTAAACCT